GAGTATAAGCCGAGGCGGCTTTTTTCAGCTCAAAAAGTGGGCTGAAAAACTAGGCTTATACTTGAGTATATACAGTATTATATATTGTAATAATCAGATTGTTCCTTCTCTTTAATTTCAAGTGTTAACCTATTCATTTCTGCACATTCTAATATTTTCCAAATCATATTCTCATCCATAGGGATATCTTCATTTTTCCAATTTTCTGCAAATACAATCCTAATTGCAGTTATTACATGAATTATCAAATATACATTTTCTTTACTATAAGTTTCTGGTTAAATGCCCAGAAGTTCTTAGAGGGAAATTTTATGTGTCTGAAAGCCCAGTATTTTATTCAGCATGCCATAGATCAAAAGTTTGAGAAAACAAGCTAGGTTCAAATAAATTAAAAAATGGTCTACAGCTCTGAGCAGTAGCAAAAACAATATTGCGTCTGTGCAGTGCATGTTAATTTTATTGCCCTTTGATTATTTCAGTGCTTTGCAAGATACATTTTATTACTGACAAATTCAAGATATATGCAAGGCTAAAAAGAAATTCTTAAAACTACACTATAGGTGAAATCCATATATTTCTCAATTTTTCATTAATGCATAATTATCACACTTGCCACTTTTGAATAAAGTCCCTTCTATCAGAGGGGTTGCTGCTAGCATTACTGCAGTTTGCTTTACACACGCACTGAGCGTTACTTGCACATGCACAGTTGCCGGTTAATTGTTCTGCTAATGCGCATAACATTATAAAATGAGTTTAAAAAAAACATGCTGGCAACAGCATGGGCGACTGGGGAATCAGTTCAGGGGCGTGGCCAGCCGGCCATCCCTACTGGTTCGGTGACCCAATCCCAATGCCCACTATTAGTTTGTCCGAACCCGTGCAAACTGGTAGCAACCCAACTCTGCCTTCTATATGCCATGTTACAATCTAAACAATAATCCTGGAAAATGATCCACATTGCAGATGGAGGAACAATTTGCCAACCTGCCTGAAGAGGAAATTATAGTATTACTGACATGTCTGCATACTTCATCTATTTCTTCTCCTGGGCTTCCCCGATACATATACGTAAGTCTGTACAGATAGACAGTGGGTGGATGGATGGATGAATGGATGGATGGGCCATCAAGTCATTTGGTTCCTAGGCACCATATACAGATGGTATATGGTTATTATAACGCTTCAAATCAAAGAAGAGAATTTAAAGAAGGTGGATATTTTTCAGTATCTGGCATCCTATCTCCAAGACAATGGCAACATCAGTGGCAAAGAGTGAGCAAAGATGAATACAGCCTGGATGCGTTGGCGAGAACTCGCTGGTGTGTTATGTGACAGACGAATGCCAACCCACCTTAAATCTTAAGATTTACAAGACAACCATCCACTCTATTGCACTGCATGGTGCTGAATGCTGGGCAGCAAGAACTGGGAGCGAAATACCCATGCCATGGAAATGTGAATGCTCTGTTGGATGTTAGGCGTCTCCCTTCTTGACCACATCACAAAAGACAACATTTTGGTGTGGCACCAATTGTAGAGAAGATGAGGGAAGGCCGGCTCCACTGGCATGGACATGTCCTGAAAGCAGCACCTTCATGTGTGGCCAAGACTGCCTACCAAGTAGAAGTCAATGGTCGGTGACCTTGCGGGCATCTAAAACAGAGATGGCAAGACGCCATCAACAAAGATACACAAGCCACGGGCCCTGGAGACGCAGCTGACCATGCAAAGTGGCGTTCAATGATCCGAAAAGCGCACCTGCTCCTGCAGGAATACGCTAGGAGGAAGAACAACCGTATACAGGTAGTCCTCAATTTACGACCACAATCAGGACTGGAATTTCCGTCATAAGTCATTGCAGTCAAAGATTGAGTAAGAATCATTTCTACAGCAGTCGTTAAGCAAATCACAGGGTCATGAAGGAAATCCAGCTTCCCCAATGGGTATTAGATCTGCAAAAAAGATTACAAACCGTAATCACATGACCTCAGGTTGCTGCAACCAGTTGTAAATGCAAGCAGGTTGTCCATTGACTGAATTGTGATCTTGTGCAAGTGTGAATATAGGTTGCAAGTCATTTTTTCCAAAGTTGTCATAACTTTGAAGCATTGTTCAACAAATTGTTGTAAGTCAAAGACCACCTGTAGATACATTTTCTCCATGGTAATCTATCCCTAGCCTATTCTTTCAGGTTTCCCAATAGGGCCACTCATTGCCACCATAACTGAATCCATTCACCTTGTTCCTGGTCGTTCTCTTTCCTCTGTACCAGTGGTGACTAACTTTTTCCGGACCAAGTGCCCAAAGCATGCGCACACGCATGAATGCACACACGTACGCCTGAACCCCCATAATGTAATGTGTGTGCTGCCCCTGTGCATGTGCTCCACCCCTATGCATGCACACGCCCCCATGCAATGCCCTGCCCCTGTGCATGCACAGCAGAAGCACAAAGATCAGCTGGCCAGCAGGAGGCATACAGCAGAACTGAACGGGGGCAACAGCTCACGTGCCCACAGAGGGCGCTGCGTGCCGCCTCTGGTATGTGTGCCATAGGTTCACCATCACGGTTCTACATGTGGGTGGCATGACTAAATGCCAAAGGTGCTGTTACCTTCCCACCGAAGGTAAGTTCCTATTTTTCTACTTGCATTTTTATGTGCTTTCGAACTGCTAGGTTGGCAGAAGTTGGGACAAGAAATGGGAGCTCACTCCATTACGCAGTGCTAGGGATTCGAAACACTGAACTGCCAACCTTTCTGATCAACAAGCTCAGCATCCTAGCCACTGAGCCACCGTGTCTCCTGCATAGACCCAATGCTAACTATTTCTTGATTGTTGCTTTATTACTGAGGGTTGACAAGGCAAAGCTACTCATCTCTTTAATACCTTCATTGTCCATTCTAAAGCTGATTGTTCTACTTGAGGTCATTCTCGGTCTTCTGTATTTAATTTTGGTCTCATTTCTTTCACTGTGCCTAAAGATTAATGTATTTATTGATGGCAGGAAGCCATGAAGGTTCATCGGCCTTTTGACCTTTTGAAGGCCTGATATGAGAAAGGGGTTACTAGGTAAATCAGAAAAGGTCTAGAGTAGGTGAGTCTGTTTACAAAATATCAGAATGGTGCAGTCAAGCTTTCCAGGATACTCATCATTCACTCCCATAATATACTTCCCCCCCCACCCCCAATTCTAGGTGTGTGTTTGCAAACAGT